TTTTATTTATTTTTTTATTTTTATTTTTTTTTTAATAAAGTTTTTGGCATTGAAGGTTCCATGAAGAACCTTCAACACACATGGGACCTATTCATTGCACATTGTTTTGTTTTTTTAAGTGGAAAAAGTTTCTTTAGATTATCCAAATGTTCTTCACAGTAATAAAAACAGAGATTCTTTTAATAACTGATCACAGAAGGGTTCTTTGGGGAACCAAAATGGTTCATTTTGGAACCCTATTTTCAACAGTGTAGCCGAAAACCAAAACTAAATCCACAAATAAAGTTTTGTTAATTAAATTTGGGTAATTTAACTCGGTATTATGTTCACAACAAGTTGTACTACAACAGGTGAACCAGTTGTAGTAAAGTTCAACAAGCCGCACCTCGATATTTCAGCTGAACAAATTTTACATATTGCTACTCATTAGTTTTGGTGACATTGAAATGCATCAATGCCGCTAACATGCTTACTTGTTTTAGATTATCCATGTTGTTTACATAAATCAGATGCTGACACAGTCAAAACACAACACTGAATACAGTTTTGGTCAATGATTTCGGCCCTACAAATCTATTTTGTCCAAAAAACAAAAATAATTTTTTGGGTTGCATCACTGCTTGATTGATTCATGCATTGATAATCATTCATTTTGTTCATGATGCATTACTGCAGTTTATAATCAAACATTTTTGCCTCTAGAATGTTAATTTTGGTCAATTGTAAATGTTTTTAAAATAAGCTCATAAGGTCTAATCCTAAAATCATAATTCTGCTTATCCTTTTTTGGACATTGGTTAAATTAAAACATCCCTGCTGCTGCTGCTTTGTCCTGTAATTGCTGCTCGCAGCTATATTTTTCTCTTCCTTTTCTGAGCTCCTCTCTAATAACCTCTTGTCTTCTTTCCACAGGTGGTTGGAGAAGGGAGGAGAGACCATGGTATGGGAACAATAGGTCATATCTGAGGTACGATATAGTGGGATGCCTCTGAAAAAGGTTGGATTGCTGTTGATTGCTGCTCTCTGACAAAGTGCAAAGTTGTCTCTGTGATAGAAAACAAGCTCTTGTTGGCTTCTATACTATAAACTCTCACGTATATATCAAAACCATTTTGTATAGTTGGACCCAAAGTAGTTTTGGTTTATAGTGCCTTTCTGTGTGCTGTTTATATGGCGTATAGCTATCAAAAAATATACCCCCTTTAAATGCCATTTTTATAGAAGGGAGCACTTTGAAATTTGACCTTCAGATGTAGCTTTGTGATGTCTCATACGTTTTCTCTTGTGTTTTGTAGTGAGTGCACTGAGATACAGGAATTAATTCAAAGGCCCTTTGAGTTTTCTACCATAAATTGAAGTTATTACCTCAGGGCACCGGCCAAAATTACTCCCTCTGCAAATTATTTATATTTTCCTGTTTTAGAAATGAGCCGAGGTTGCAGACTAGTGCCTGATTAGCATAATTCAGCGGTATTCACACATCTAGTGATATGCGGCAACCAGAAGTAATTTATTTTCAATGAGAGTTGGCAAGTTTTGCCAATGTTAGTAATGTGGGTGTGTTCAACTACAAAAGTTGAGAAAAGTCTTGCTTTATGCAAATTAGCAGTAGGAGTTAAGACATTGATACTCTAGGAATTTAATTCTGAGTGAGTTTGATTCATGTATTCATTTTGTTCATGATTATGCATTTCTGCAGGTTATATTCAGACATTTTCCCTGTAGAATGTTACATTTTATTGCCGAAACAAAAAACTCTACTTCCATATTTAATCAGAAAAACATGGTATTTAAACTGCCAGTAGTTTTCAAAAGCTGTGGTGAGTTGAATGCGATTTGGAAAGTAAGTTAGTTAGTTGGAAAGCCTACTACAATCAACAATATAACCACAGTGATGTGGGTGCTTCCAGTGATAAAAATAGAGAAAAATTACTTTATGCAAATTAACAGCAATGTGGTGACAACCAATAGGAGTGAAGACAGTGAAGCATGAGATCAATGTCCTGAAATACTGAATCAATTGAATTCAGAGTGAGTTTGATTCATGCATTGATAATCATTCAGCTTTTTTGTGATGCATTATGCACTGCTGCAGTTTATATTGAAACATTTTTCCCTGTAGAATGTTACATTTTATTGCTGCAAAAACTGATTCCTTGTCAAATTAAAAAGACATGCTATTTTAACTAAATCATTTTCAAAAGCTGTGGCAAGCTGATTGGCGCACCATACTGGACAGCCCAAAACAATCATCTATATAATCACAGAGAGGTGGGCATGTCCAGCAATAAAAGTTGAATGAAGTGTTACTTTATGTTAATGAATAGCAATGCTGTGACTACCAATAGGAGTGAAGACATTGAAGCATGTGATCCATGTCCTGAAATACTGTATAAGTTGCATTCAACATGAGTTTGATTTATGTATTGATAATATATGAATAACAGCACTCAAATGCTAACGGGAAATGGTCATTTTTAAAAATTTCAGTACCGAAGTCGGTACTTTTGACAACGCTAATTGATAATCATTCATTTTGTTTATGGCACAATATGAACTTTTGCAGTTTATATTGAAACATTTTTCCCTGGAGAATGTTACATTTTGTTGTGAAAACTAGTTCCTTGTCAAATTAGAAAGACATGCTATTTTAACAGCGAATCATTTTCTAAATCTGTGGCAAGTTGAGTGCATCAATTTGGAAAGCCCACTAAAATCATCAATACAACCATAGCGATGTGGGCGTGTCCAGCAATAAAAGTTGAGAAAAGTGTTACTTTATGCAAATGAGCAGTGATGCGGTGAACTACCAATAGGAGTGAAGACATTGATACTGTAGGAAATGCATTCTGAGTGAGCTGGATTATGCATGGTGCACTTCTGCCATTTAAATTCAGAATGTTAATTTTTATTGCTAATTCATTGTCAAATTAGAAGGACATGCTATTTTAACAATGGCATGTCTTAACAAAGCAATCATTTTCAAAAGCTATGGCAAGTGGTGCACTAATGGTGTTAGTATATATTACTATGTGTGTATGCCCCATTACTCCGAGCGTATATGAAACTACCACAGGGTATCAGCCAAATTAGAGGCTCATGTATTTTGATCTTCATTCAAATGAGGGTTTGAGAGATCATACTAAATGTGGCTGTGTGGGATCATACAGTTGTAATGTATCAGGGCGTATGTGATTCAGCTGTGCGTGTGTGTGTGACACATTTTTATCCTGTGCTTCCACTAAGGAGCAATTAGCATTCATTAAACCGTCAGCCACACTTCACTGGGGGAGTGCTCTCATTTCACCATTTGATTTTCCTTTGTCTACAAATAGAACAGCACAAAGAGGACTCTGGCTTGGAGGCACAGTCTGTCAACTGGGAGTTTGGTGAAACCACTGGGCGAACTAGTTGTGCTCATTAAAAACCTTTGGCTTTTTGTCAGTTGGTGAACTTTTATGTGGATGCGGGGCTGTTGTAAGCGGTGCCAAATATTGCATATGTTTAGAGTAAACAGACGTAGGCTAATGTTTTGTGTACTGAAATTTGCCTGTCAGATGTTTTGTTTTCTAGTAAACCTAGTAATTTTTGTTAATGTGAGGTTCCTGCAACAAATATTGACATCAAAATTTAAAGGTGATGTGTGTAATTTCTGTGCCACTTGCAGAATCAAACAGAATTGCAAATTGAATGCAAACACGCTGAAACAGTTGCCTTGACTACCCTAAAAGAGGTGGTTGAGCCAATGGTTATTTATGAGAAATTTGAGAATGGAATTCGACTTACTGAATTATGCATATTGCGTTATGCAAAAATATGTTTCAAACAATAGTATGCTACATTATTGTCACATGATCTTGTCACATTGCATTTATAATTTCTGCAAGTGATGTCATGATCTGTCATCATCTTTCTTATTAAAAGTCATCAATTTGCATTTTTTATTACATTTTGTGTAAAAATCAAGCGTAGCATTAGTTCTGGCAGGTCACGTTAGTCAAGCTCGCATCAGCTGACTCTCAGCTGATCCCCATCTACCTATAGGAATACGACACCTATCTAAGCATTCATATATAAGGTCCCTCAGTATTAATCAGCAGTTTTCGCATTGCTCAATAGATAATTACCCTCCCCCATCCCCAGCTCCTCCTCTGTCAGTCAGATTCAGCCTTCTGATTATCCTTTGAATCAGACTAATTCTAAAATGTGTACATAAAATGATTGAACTTTAACGATATCTGCAATACATTTATGTTGGTTATGTCAGCACCACTATCGTCAAAATGATAGATACTTAGCATAAACTTTGGTTTGGCGGTATGGTTCTGTTCTGGGCAAAAACCTCCCTGCCCATCCATGCAGCCTGTCATGAATGAGCAGGGAGAGCAGCAATAATAACCCCCCTAGGGTTAACAGAACAGAACAAGGCAGATATCATTAATGTACTTAATGATATTTAAGTATAACACTTTATTCAAGATAAAGGAGTCTGATTAGCAAGGAATATCAGAAAGCCAAGTCCTGACTGTGGCGAAAGGAGGAGCTGGGGATGGAGGAAGATGTGATCGGCTGAGAATCAGCTGATGCAAGCTTGACTCACGTGACCTGCCAGAACTAATGCTAATGCTTAATTTCTGTTCTGTTTTCCCTGGGGGGGAGGGTATCATACCGCCAATCCAAACTGTTTGCTAATTGTCAATCATCTTTGATGATAGTGGTCCTGACAGAAATGTCCTTGTTTTTGGCCACTCCAAAAATGAGTCAAAATAGAGATAAAAATCAGAGCTGATATTACTTCCGGTTCATTCTTCACACTGCAAATCGAAGGTGTCAATTTGTGATAGCATACTACCATACTAAGCTTGCTATTTCTGCCATATATGATAACAGTCAAGTCACGTGCATTGCAGTTTTGCATGCAGCATGATCTGTTGTATACTAGACATTTTGGCAAATTTAACAGGTCATCTGTGTATTCTGTTCATAAACAAAAAATTACAAATCAGACACACTGTAAACCAGGGGTGCCCAAACTCGGTCCTGGAGGGCCGGTGTCCTGCAGAGTTTAGCTCCAACCCTAATCAAACACACCTGAAGCTAATCAAGGTCTTACTAGGCATACTAGAAACTTCCCGGCAGGTGTGTTGAGGCAAGCTGAAGCTAAACTCTGAAGGACACCGGCCCTCCAGGACCGAGTTTGGGCACCCCTGCTGTAAACCATGCCTGTGGCGACATTTCTGCGAAAGGATATTATGTTGCTTCTTGCACGTTTCGCAACACTTTCAAAGTGAAATTTCCAGTGATGAACTTGATTCTGGCAATGTTTCATTCCATTGGTTGTTGTAAAATATTTGAAGATATTTAGTGTTACATCACTTTCTCATCCACGGTTCCTCTGCAGTGAATGGGTGCCGTCAGAATGAGAGTTCAAACAGCTGATAAAAACATCACAATAATCCACAAGTACCCACACCAATCCAGTCCAACATTTAACATCTTGTGATGCAAAAAGCTGTGTGTTTGTAAGAAACAAATCCATCAAGACATTTTTAAGCCATTGTTTCTGGCTAAAATAGCTCTATAACTATTATCCATAATCTTGCTTTCTCCAGTGTAAAAGTGATGTTGTCTGAATCAGGAGAGAAATGTGCACAGGTCAAGCACTGTTTATAAGCAAAAACAGCTCTAAACGAATATGTCACTGGATTTTGATGTGAGAGGACAACAGGGGATGAACTTTTTCAATGGATGAAGTGGATTATTGTGATGTTTTTATCTGCTGTTTGGACTGTTATTCTGATGGCACCCATTCACTGTAGAGGATCCATTGGTGAGCAAGTGATATAATGATGAATTGTATTTTTGGGTGAACTATTCCTTTAATTTACAATTTGCCCCTGTAATCATAATTTGTATGAAAAAGTATAAAAATCGCTGCTGTTTTACTGCTACTAGTGTTGCATTCAG